CGCTTTAAATAGCACAGAAAATTTGGAGCTGGAATAACCACCCTTGTGTTATCAGATCTCCTTAAATTAGGAACAAGGGTGCAAGACAATAGGGCAGAAGAATCCACTCCAGGACAGAATGGGAACGTTAACGTTGCTACTTTCACTCGTTATGTTTTTCTAGAGAAAATAGGGAGGTTTGGAGAATCATTGCCTTACCCAGTCACTGTTGCCCACCCTTCCATCAAGGCAGCGTTCTCTCAAATTTAGTTGTTTGTGTATGGAAAATGTGCATTGCTGCTGTTCTTTCTGCATTAAAGTTGACGCTGGCAGATACTACCATAACCTCCAAAATTGAAAGCAAACAAGGTTTAGCTGCGCAGTTATCAGTGAAGTTGTAGTCATGTACTAGTGATGCTTTAGCACTGACAAATCCGGAATTTCCAGAGGGGATGGATAAAATTCCGTTTATAATTGAAATGTCACCACTGCAGATTAACAGTCCGAGGCAGAGCATAGATTAATCACTCAAGACGCACAGAGCAGGGTAAAGGGAAAAGCGAGTTTATTCCCCCTTTCCTATTAACTAGTTTCTGACCTGATGGAGAAGCAATACTTCCATGCTATCGTAGGCCCTTGGCTGTTTTGATAAGTTATAACTAGCATGTCAGTTAATGCTTTTGTTTTTTCTTCCCCCCGCTGTCAAGTTAACTTCAACTGCACATTTATTTCAAGTCATTGCAAAACATCAATTATTTTAACTGTATTCCATATTCCTACATACTGAGATTTTTCACTTTTTATTCTCAGTTTGAGTATCAAAATCTGCCTCTGATCTCAGTTGCACCCTGATATAAACTTAGATTTAACTGCATTCTTCAGCTTTACACTGGTGAACTCCTTCAAAGCCCCACTACCGTACTTCATTATCATCACATCATCGTAGACATGCCAACAAGCTAGAGAACAGATAGACCAGACCTTTGATATAAATTAGGATTAGTATATTGACAGCAAGTCCAGCTATCCTGATTTATACTGCCTACATAATTTAATGGGATGTGAAAATACTCACACCTTCATAGAAAGTAACAGAAGTCCATGGGCAACAACAAAGCTACCAATCCTTTTGCTTCCAGCAGTAGATTTTGGGCATCTAACTAGTTATTTTAAGTAGCAGGGCAGCCAAATATTTCTAAGCCCCAAACAGGTATTTCACATTCGTACGTGAGCATAGCTTGGCATAGAAGAAACAGCGGGACAGGTAAGAGTCACTGCACATACAGACATCAGTTATGCACACTGGATACAACCGCGGCAGCCCGTATTTTAGACCTAGCACCATTAGGCCTGCTGGCACAATTATCTTTTTCCCAATAAGAAATCTTGTGGGTCTTTAATTAGCCTCAGAAACATTAAACATACTAAGCTGGGTCAGATAAATGCCAGCCTATCTGCCAAGTAACCTGACAGTCAGGTACAATGCTGCTAATTAGGTGGGAGATGTTTACAATGTTAAGCCCCAAGTAACACAACAATAACGCATTAACACATCACCTTAAAAAAAAATCCCAGCTTGAGTACTAGACCTACCTACTGGAAAGAGATCTGAACGACGACAATGCTCTAAAGGTCACTGCCTTTGTGCTTAGCATTGCAGGTACTCTGTTATCACAAAATCTCCAGCAATGTTTAACCAAGTACTGATAATATAAAATACCACAGTACCATAAATTAAAAGATGAAGTTGCTCTTCTTTTTATTGAGATGGCATTATAACATCAAAAATATTTTCCTTTCCCTAAATACGCACTTCTCTGTTGAAGTTGCTTCTGCATGGGACTTTGTGGTAACCACTGTGTTTGTCCATACCT